GTAGTTTCTGATTTTTGAGTACAGTTCAGTTTATCTTTCATTTTCAGTCTGCCTTGAGATTTGTTTATCAGTTGGATTTTCTTTTCATCTTATTTCAGTTTTTGTGAGGTTCCTATTGATCTTGTGCTTTTCTGCACACTTTATTTCCCAAATTAAAAATGAAAAACACCAATGTTTTGCTTAGATTACTGCCTGTATTGTGAACCAATGAGAAGAAGAAAACACATGAAGTCGAGCATGAATGTGGTCTGTTTAAGTAAATCCAATAGGTGCTGACATTATCTGTTAATTAACCCTGCCTCTCTTATCTCTATTGATTATAATATCATCAGAACAGTGCAAAAGGGAAATTTCCACTGCTGCTTTCTCCTGGGTTTTTAACTTCATTACAGCAGGAAGTAGAAACAAACAAGCATTCAGGCTCCATTCTGATGTGATTGTTTTCATACCAATATGAATKATCATTTTTTAAATGCCAAAGCTGGATCAGGTAAGAAGTGATGATAAAAACCATCAGCATCATTTTGACACACAAAACACATCAGATTGAATAAGACATTACTTCCACAGCTCCATGGTTTTGTAAAAGAGGATTTGGTTTCTGTGATTCTGATTTCTCCTCATGCAACATCGGAAATTGTCTATTTCTGACTCCATACTATAAAAAAGCACAGTTTTGAATGTAAATTTAATCATTGGCAGGATAAAAAGCGTCTGAAGAATTTTCCCTTTGAAACCTCCCATTTTTTTGTGTGATAGCTGTCCTATTGTCCTGTTCTGGCATGTTCTTCATTCACCGAGCACACGGCAGGCAGAGTCGATTGAAAACCCATTTCAGGGTCTTTAATCTTTACTCCTCATGCTCCTCTGCAGGAGGTTTCACGTGTCGGGCCTAAAATGCACGGTGATGACAGATAACTTCACTTCCACACTCGCAGTGATTAAATAATATGGAAAGCTCGCATTCATTTATCAGCACCAAATTATCCACAGAGCGAGGGAGAGGGAGAATAATGATTTCAATTTATAACACTGCATTTCAAGTGTGATAAATGTGTAACTCCAAAACTATGAGCATAATTTAATCACTTTTAGAATTAAGG